GAAGGCCAGCAGAAGGTACGGTGCAACGCACATCCACTGAAAAGTAGGGTGGAAACTCCTTCCTCACGCTCTAAGAAGAGTCCACGGAGGACTGCACCACTGTGTCACCATCATCACTCCATTCCCTGTTAAAGAACTGGGCGTCCCTGCTCTGTACTATGCGGCTTCCAGCTCCTCCCTGAGACAGGGGCCACTTCCTACTGACACTGATGTTGAGCTTGGCCACGTAACTTGCCTTAGAAAATGGGACCTGAATAGCAGTAGTGTTTGTCATGCATGGTTTAGCCATCGTTCTTCCTTCTCTATGAGGCCAAGAAAGGGGACTGCTCCTCCATCTTAAGTCTTAGAATGAAATGAGATCTAGAACAGAGCCCAGGATGACAAGCATACAGCATGGAAAGAGTGAACAGTAAACCTGTGGTGTAGAGCACTGAGATGTGGGGCTGTTTGTTACTGCAGCAAAACCTAGAGAAAGCTGCCTCCTACTACAGAGTACTGGAGGGTGTGTGGCAATGTCATGAAAGAGAACATTTTGATCAGGGTGCTTTCATTTGCAATTACCAGAAATTGAACTCAAACTGACTGGACTAAAGAAATGTGGGAAAGGAGATATTTACCTGCTGACTTACCTCCAAAGGAATAGAATTGGCTTAGCCATGGCCAGAAAACAAACAAACAAACAAGATCTCAGACTCTTACCATCTCTCAGGCCTTCTTTTTATCAGGCATGATTTTATTTTCTGATTGTTTTCAGAATTGTTACTCAGAGATCCAAAGCTAAGCCTAGAACTGTAGCTCATTGGTAGAGCACTTGTCTAATATACCCAAGGCCCTGGGTTTGATCCCTAGAGCTGAAAAAAACAAAAGCAAATATCTAAATCTAGTGGGAAGGAAACTCCATCCTGTTGCCTCTTAAAATGTCTTGAGATTATCTTAGGTAGCAATCATCATGGATGGGATCCCTGCTCTGTTTAGACAGCCCTATCCCAGCCCTATTCATCTGAGGGTTCTAGCTCACTATAAAGTATGTGGACTGAGAGACATGGGAAGTGCTCAGAAGCAGGGAAATCAATGCAGAAAAGCCTTATGTTTTACTATAGCTAATGTTTTGTTGTAACTAGCCATAAGTATCCACCAGAAGTGAGAAGTTAGAGCAAAAAGAAAGGGAATAAATACCACTTCCTCTGTTTTTTGCCATCTTCTTTTGAGACAAGGTTTCAAACTTGCTATATGTAGCTGTGTAGCTAATGAGTAACCAAGGACTCTGAATGTCTGACCCTTCTGTCTCCACCTCAGGAGTGCTGAGATGGCAGGCATACCACACACAGTTTATGAAGTGCTAGAGATTGAATCCAAGCGCTCTACCACTCTACTAACTGAGTCTCAGCCTCAGAACTGTTCTGCATTCTTAAAGTAACTCTTAGAAGAAAACTCAAAGTCATCCATGTTGGAATACAGCATCATTCTGAAAGACTCTTTAGGTCTAGAGCAATATAATTCCATGACGATCCTTGACTTGAAGCATTTCCTTTCACTGCATAATTTATTTCATAAAGATGCATATTTTGTACATGATGAGTTCTAGTTAGAATTTTATGAGCTAAAGAGTATTTTTAAAGATTGTCAAAGTCCTAGGCTACACACACACACAAAAAAAAATATTAAAACAAAAATAAGCTTGGGGAGAGGAGCCATGAAAGACTAGACAGAAGACAGAATCTGCTAAATTGAGGGCAGGGAGAGAGGGTGATGGCTGGCCCTGGTGGGAGGAGGATTGTTTACAGGACAATCACTAGTAGCTGTCTGTGACAAATGCCTCCAACCCAGCTGTGTTCTCACATGACAATGGCACTGTGCTATAGGTAGGCATCTAGACTTTGACATTAAAAAAAGACTCAGGTTCACATAGAAGATGGCTCCCAGGCTAACAGTCCCGGCTTACTGGAGGCAGCAAGCGGCAGTAGACATATTTAGCATTACATCTCACATAGGGGTTGCTTGCTAAAGTCAGGCCAAGAATGGAAATTCTCATGAAGTAAAATAAAGACCCACTTCAAATCCCTTAAATCACCCATATGCGTGTATTACATCCTTCATGAGGCCAGTTTTCTCCCAATCTCAATGCTGATCCTGTTAAGTTCTGGTTGACAGGCAAGACAGCACTGTGGTGAATTGCGCTCTTAATGGGGCTGACTGGAGGCAGGCTGCCTGGGTTCAAGTCCCGTCTCTGCTGCCAACTTATCACCCTGAGCACAACTCAGTCACCCTGTGCCTCAGTTCCTTTTCTGAAATGTGGCTCTTGCTGGGACAGCAAGTGTTCCCCAGCAGCCATGAGCCCACCTGCATAGCCCAGACCAGCCTTCTTCTCAGGTAGTTTGGCCGGGGCTCTATGAGGAGGGGTGGAAAAGATTAAAAACCTGTAAGCAGAGAAGGTTAAGTATGGTGTGGGGCATCTCCTCCATTCTTTACTCCCTGTGTGCTCTGATCTTGCTACAGTTTCTAGGAATGTGGCCAACCTGCATCAGGTTACATGAGTGGGGAAGAGGGCCCAGTGATCATTGTATTTTTCCAAGACTCATTTCCTTCATCGTCAACTTCCCAGTCTTAGCATTTATATCCAAGAGCTGTGGAGAAAGGTTAAAAGGGATCATAATCAAGAAAGCATTTAGGAGAGTGACTGCTCAATTAGACCAGTTATTATCACCCACAGGCAAGGTGACTCTGATGCAGGTGACCTCTGATGCAGAGTGACTTCTACTCAACAGAGAATTCAAATCTGACTGAACTCTAAGATTACTCAGGAAGCTAGATTGGTGCATGCTTCTCATTCCAGCATTCAGGAAGCTGAGGCAGGAGGATTGAAAGTTTGAGGCCAGCCTAGGCTACAGTAGGATTCTGTCTCAAAAAACAGAACCACAAATAAACAAGAGGAAGCTTCTGGAAACAAAATGAAAATAAAGTTATGCTCAGGCCAGCCTGAAAGTTTGGATTTAGCAGGTCTTGAGAGAAATAAAGCTCTATAGACAATTTAATGACTCTTATTTTTGATGTTCAGTTTTGAGGACAAGGTCTCACTATATAGTCCTGATTGACCTGGAACTCGCTCTGTAGACCAGGCTGGCCTCAAATCTGTTTGCCTTTGCCTCCTAAGTGCTGGGATTAAAGGTGTATTTCACCATGTCTGGCTTGCATTAGATGTTATATTTTGGTTGTGAGCCTAGCCTTTAATGGCTGAGCCATTTTTCTAGCCCTGGCTTGCAGATGATTTCTAAATGCAGCCTGGGTAGAAAAACCACAGGATTAGATCAGAGGTTCTCAGCTGGGGTAATCTGCCTTCCCCCCAGCTTTGAGACATTCATCTGTCGGCAGATATTCCAGAATGTTCAAACTGTAGGGGTGGAGTACCAATGGCATCTAGTAGGGAAAGGGCACCAATGCTGCCCACATTGCAATGCACAGCTCCCCACACTGCCAAAGTCCAAAAACCTGGGATAAGGGTTGTTTCCCAGCTCCTGTCCTCATGTGCCTAAAGCACTCCAGCTCCTGCCTGCTTCGCTGCCTTGTCCAGCTCCAGGGTACCCTGGAAGAACGTGTCCCCTAAATTCTCAAATCCAAGTCTGGATTCTATCCAGCTGGGTTGGCTCCAGGTCCGGGAAGGGTCTCCTGCCTCAAGACTTCCCTTTAGTGTGTTATTGCCTGAATCACAATACTACACAAACTACAACTGCTTGTAAACATGCCTCTCTGCTCTGGGGCTTCAGCCCTAGTTTGTTCATTTCTGGTTTCCTTAGCATCAAACTCTCTGAGTTATAGTGGGGAGGTGTTCCACAGGTTTTATTATGTTGTATGAACTAGATTTCATCTTTACCTTGCTCCTGGGCATCTCCTGGAAAGATAATGGAAACACAGAATACAAATGCCAGGGGAAGCCAGAACATTGTGTATCCAGCTGCAACAATGGCTGCTACTTCTGTTTGTTTCTATGAGCTACCAAAGAATCCCAGACAGTGACTAGAGATTGAGGATTCTCATGGAGGGAAAGACTTATATTTTTGGTTTTAGGTTTATTGTGCATGAATGGGTTTTTTTGTTGCACGTTAAGTCTGTGTACCACATGTGAGCTTGGTGCCTGCAGAGGTCAGAAATGGATCCCCTGGAATTGGAGTTACAGATGTTTGTTCACTGCCTGGTGGGTGCTTGGAATGGAACCTGGGTCCTTTGCAAGAACAACAGGTGCTCTTAACCACTGAGCCACCTCTCAGCACCATGTGGCTCTAGATGACCTGGGACTCACTGTATAGATGAGGCTGAACTCAAATTCACAGGGACTGAGCTTGAGTTGGAGACCTGTGGGAGGGACTGCAGCTCTGCCAGTAAATCACTTGTTATCTAGCATGTGCAAGGGCCTTGGGCTCAAGCCTTACTAGCAGAAAGATGGGCAGACACAGAAGGAAGAAGGAAAAGCTACTCAGGCTAAGAGCTTCTTTTCTGTGTTATTTCTGAAGTGTTTCTGGGATGAAACCAGTTGACAAAGCGAGCTTAGTCTGTGTGTGCTACAAATAACCAGACAAGAGCCCCAAGCATAACTGACCTAGAGTCCTAGACATGGCACATGAGTGAATTCCCTACAACAAAGAAAGCCATCATGTACATAACCTTGAGATTAGGACTGGGTGGGTGAGATGGCTCAGTGGCTAGTACTGTGTAAGCATGAGGCCCAGAGTTGGGCTCCCCAGAATCCACATGAATGCTGGGCAAGAGTAGTGGCTGCCTGCTCTTCAGTGCTGAGAAGGCAGACACAGAGGATCCCAGGGCAAGTTGGCTGCCCAGACAGACCACATCAGCAAGCTTCAAGAACAAGGTGAATGGTGATCAGAGAGGACTCCAAAGTCAGCCTCAGCTTCTACATGTGGGCCTGCACACATGCAAACATCCATACACACATGCATGCATACCAAATACACATACATATAAGAGGGAAAAAGTATTAGGACACTTACTGGTGCTTGAGCCATTCCTCTACAAATGGAATGGAGAAGAATTCTGTGAATGGTTCCCCTGCCCTCTTTGGATTCTGGCTTTGATTGACAAGAAAAAGGACAAGAATTAAGTCAGTGGTTTTCCTTCCATCACAAATTAATACAATCAAATCATTGGGGCCATTGAATAGCTTTGACAGGAACAACTTACTTGTATAGCCACTCAGTCAGGAAATCACAGGCGATGAATTTGGTTCTCTTCCTCTAAAGGGAGAAGATAAAATTAAATTATATCCTTACCTTGCCCATGTGTCTATGTAGCACAAAGAGAGAAGTTAATTGGTTAGGCCCATTTTAATATGCATGGCTCCATTATGAGGTTTATAAGTATGTCAACAATCAGTATGTGGGCAATATAAAGCAACCTGAAGATATTTCTCTAGTCAACCTTGGAGAAAGCATTTTCTGACAGCAGGGACTAATGAAAGGCTGTGGGTACACCTAGTAGGTGCTTTATTACAAGTTTCCTTGCTCTGTGCCTTCAGAGGCTGATTTTGAAAAAAAAATAGATGTATTTGTTTTATATGTATTAGTATTTTGCCTGCATGTATATACATATGCACCACATGCCTGGTGCCATCAGAGGTCAAATGAAGATGTCAGATCCCGGGAACTGGGGTTATGGATGGTTGTGAGCCATATTGGCACTGGGTACTGAACCTAGGTCTCTGCATGATCAACAAGTTCTCTTAACCACTGAACCATCTCTCCATCTCTGAAGAGGCTGATTTTATGGCTCATAACCCATATTCTAAACCACAACTTGCTTTGAGCCATGTGTGACTTAGCGGGGACAAACAAGGTACACTCCGAAAGATGTAACCTTGGGTGATTTCCGTGCAAGCATCATAGACTAGGGCAGTGCCAACAGCACTAGGAGATATGACCTCATTTTGTGTGGTTTGCTATTGGGCCATGGGCTGAAGCACGGGGCACATGGTACATTGGCTCTTGGCTGAAGCACACGGTATATGGCACACTGGCTATTGACTAAAGTACTGGGCACATGGGACACTGGATACTGACTGAAACTCTAGGCACATGAAACATTGTATATATTGAGTCTCTCAATCTGCTCAAGTCCACAGCTGGATTTCAGATCTGGTGCTACTTTCTAACTGAAGGAAAAGACATAAAAGTAAAAATTTAAAGAACCGAAAGGTAGATGCCAAGTACTTGGGGCCACTGTTCCTGTTATCTGTAGTTAGTAGCCGTATTGTACCCCATCTCTGAGCAGAAACCTTATTGCTTCCACATAGCTATCAATTAGGCCAAAAACTATTTCCTGGGATTTGAGGAGAAAGGGACAACTACAGGTCACAGTTTTTTCTTCTGAGACAGAAATGGACATAGCCAAGAGATGTCTATGAACACTCCATTTTCCTGGTTTCTCCTGCTGCTGTCCTCTGAAGTTCCCTCCTGCTCCTGGCCTGGAAGTGGAACAGTCCCCAGTCCTGAGACCAAAGCCCACACTCTCAGCCTGGTGTAGGAAGTGGGGCAGCAAGATCAGAGCTGGAAGCTATCCTCAGCTACATGGTGAGTCTGTGGTCAGCCTGGGAAATAGGAACCCTTGCCTCAAACAAGCAAGCCAACGCTCACACACTACAGGCAATGGGAGAGGACTTAGGAGGAGCTGTGACTCTGTTAACTGCCTTAAGCCATTGTGCCAGCACGGGCGGCCGCACTATCCCTCTCTTGATGTGTGAGGCAACATGAAGGTCATTGGGTTTATTGCTGCTCTTCTTAACATTACATGAAGCAAATGTAGCCCTAGCTAGGAAGTCACAAGGAAAAAACATTCTGAGGGTACAGCACTAGGCATCCTGTGTCCTGTTTCTCCCTTCTTGTGGTTGAAAAAGAACCATCAACTCCTGTCGGAGAACTGTTAAGGGAACTGGGAAAAGGAGGGTCCCTTCTGGCTTGTTGTGCAGCAATTTCCTCTGAATTGAGATGTTCCATCCTTTAGACATGCTTCTTAGGACTCAGGGAGCAGGGCTAGTGAGATGGTTCGTTGGGCAAGGGTGTTTGTAGCCAAACCTAATTATCTGGGTTTGATACACAAAATTCACATGCTGGAAGGGGAGTATTGACTCCCACAGTTGTCCTCTGACTCTGTGCATAGGACGTGGGAAGCCTCGGGAGCCCACGGCCTCGGGAGCCCACGGGTACACAGGGTTCCTCCTGTCAGACAAGCAGTAACAAGTGCTGGGAAGGAGACTCCTGTGGCACAGGTGCCTGTGAATGGTGCAGGAGGTTCCAGGGATGAGACATGTGAGCTGTGACCCATACCACAGTGTAAACTCGCTGATTCACCAAGCTAGACCTAGGTGGAATGGCTTATTTGGTTTGTCATTGGTGTTCAATATGGAGCAAATGGTCATTTACTCAGGTCTTCCCAGGAAAAGTCAGAGAACCCCTTTTGACAGAGACTAAGAACCAAGTCAATCCAGAGGTGCTGACAGCCACGTTAGTAGCCCTCCCAAGAAAGCAAAGTATTCTGGAAATTTTCTGTCCCTCTAGTTATCCTACCCTACCCTACCCTACCCCACCCTGCTCTGTGATACTGGGGGCTAACTCATATCAACCACCATCTTTTATCAAACACTAGGGGGCTAGCCGACAGGAGGGATCGGCAGGAAATGTGGAGGGAGAGGAGGGAAGGGGTTGGATTGTACCTTTCCCAAGATTCTTCTGCTAGTATCTAACACTCCCCACTTCTCCCACACCTTACCCCACCCCTACCCCATACCTCAGACTATGACCTTATTTAGAAATAGAGCTGGTGCAGATGGAATCCATTCGTCTTAAACAGTCCCATCCAGAGAAGACAACCCAGGGATCCATTAGCAAGACACTGTCAGATAGACTGCAGTGGCAGACTCCTGGTTATACTGGACTAGACTCTGGCTCTGCTACAGAACTCAAGCTCCTGCAATCTGCCCCTCCCCCCCCCCTTCTCCCATTGGTAGTGGCTCAGATGGAACTCAGAGCTCACTTTCTTATGCTAGGCACACTGAGTTACATACCCTGTCAGAGTTTCCTTTTTTTTGTCTCCAAGTTGTCTGTGCTGAGTTGATTACTGTTTACATTTCAACTGTTTTAACAACTATTTTTCAATTCTCCCATCACATGCATCCTAAGGTGCCCCAGGAAGCCTTTTCCACATAGGAAAGGCTGTCCTGCAGTTTCCTGATGAACCCCCATCTCAGCATCTCAGAAAGTAACAAGCCACAGATTACTAGGTCTGGGGAGCAAGATGCACATCTCTCTTTCTACCCCAAGCTTCATCAAGTGCCTTGTGTGGAGCAGGTGATCCATGAGGGTTGAGTAAATGAATGAAGAAATGCAGGAACAGTTCCAGGGGTCGAAGCAAGAAAGATTCAGGTACAAGGACAGGGCATTTCAAATGAAGAATTATAATTCTGGATACATCTCATTCACTTCCCACAATTTCTCTCTTTCTATTCTCTTTTTGAGACAGAGTATCCCTTAGGCTGGCCTCAAACTAGCTATGTAGCAGACATTAAATAACCTTGAACTTTGGATACCTATTCTCTGCCTGCTAAGTGCCGGGGTTACAGGCATAAACTGCCATACCTGGTTTGTGTAGTGCTGGGGACCAAACCCAGCACCTCAAGCATGCCAGGCAAGCACTCAACCAACAAGAGCTACTCCCCAGCTCACCACAATATTTTCTTAGGAAAACTTTCCATCTGATTTCTTTTGTCTCTTTCCCTTACAGGCAGCCAATTTGGTTTTATAATCCTACAGAAAGCTGACAGCATTTCTGTGAAACTGATGGTCACTAAAAAGCAAAGTGCTGCTTAGGGTTTTTAAAGGAAGCTTTATCGTGGCTGTTAGTAAAGGAAACCTAGTGGTGCCCGGATTGCTGGAGATTATTTACCGTCTTTTACCTCGAAGCCAACAGCTTTTATAAAGAAATTGAAACACTGCTGGCCAAGGGGACAAAATGAAAAGTGCCAAATCTTAGAAAGGGCTTGTTTGCTTGACATATAATATTTTTCTCTCTCTCTCTTTTTTTTTTTTTTTTTTTTGTTCTTTGAGAATTTTGTAAGCATATTTTGATCATAGTCATCCCCCTCTGTCCACCCCTCCCAGATCCACACCCTCTCCTTCCCAAGTTTACAACCTCTCATTCTCTCTCTCCCTCCCTTCCTTCCTCCTTCCCTCTCTCTCCCTTTCTCTCTTTTCCTCCCTCCCCCCTTCTCTCTCTCTGTGTGTGTGTGTGTGTGTGTGTGTGTGTTGTGTGTGTTTCGTGTTTTGCTTTTTAAAGGGTTGTTCATGAAAGGGAGGACTCCCTTCAAAAGCTACCTTAAAAGAAGAAAACGCTTGCTACAACAAAGCAAATATGTAGCCAAGCATGAATTACAGTCAGTCTAATGGCTTAAACAATGGAGCAACTATAAGACAGTAGTCTCCATCTTCCCACACACCATGCTTGTCCACTTGGCATTTATCACACCCGTTAGTGGTAAAGTTTCTATGCAGAGGACGCAGCCTTGCTCACTCTGTTAAACAGACTTTGACATAGCCGTATAGAGCTCATGCACAGATTTATTCACTTTTGATGCAAAGAAATAAAGTGTGAGAGATGATATTTTCCTTTGGTTCTGGGCAGGCGTGGACGTGCCCTGCATACCCAGACATGTAGAACAGTGGGGTATTGTTCAGCTGTTGTTTAGTTTAAAAATTATCTGCTGGGGAGCTGAAAGGGAGAAGGGAAGGCAACTGAAAGGCCCTGGTGAGTGAAGAGATAAGAGAGGAAGTAATAGAAAAGAAAAGCAGAAGACTGAAGACGCTTGGGCTGCCAGGCTCATAGGACGTGGGCAGATACAATGAATCTTTGACTGTTAAAAGGCCCAAGTGTGCATATTTGTACAAGCAGAGCAAATGGGCAACCACAAAATTAAAACATTATTTTTGTTGTTGTTCATTTTTTGAGACTGTTCAGTTAGCTCTTTCTAGGCCCTAAATCCTAAAAACAGAACAAAACCCAACAAAATCTATAGTTGACGGGGGGTGGGCTAGGGTGGGGGGTGGTATTAGATGCCAGACATCAGAAGCTGGGACAAGGAAGCAGGAGATCATGAGTTCAAGGTCATGCTTGGCTGCACATAGGGTTGGAGGCCAGCCTGGGCCAGATACTTGAGACCCTTTCTCAGAAGCAAACAAACAAAAATGTA